GTGAAATGCACCTAGAATTTTGGTTGACTGATAGGTCAACCGGTGGTCCAACCATATATCAAGACATTGGTCCCATTATTGGAGCAAAATTTGATCTTTTTTCCCCTCAATTAATCACATCAATCTTTTTTTTCACTAGTGGACACCCTTCTTGTCCTTTGGTGGACTACGGAGACTGTCATTTCAGAACTTTTTTTTTTTTTTAAGTGGGTAGCCTCAATGGGGGTGGCCCATCCCCTAAATGGCCAAACCAATAACACCCCCAAGTCCGGATTGTTTCTCAAACCACTGTATATTATGGGAAGTATAACCAATCACAAGTGACAATTAAGCGCCAGTGTTGGACGAGTGGGTTCCATGTACACATTGGCATATTCATTTATGATTGATTACTTCAGCCAACAGGGTGCAACTAGAAGATCCCAAGGTCCCCATCCAAGGCAAAGAGTTCGCATCTGCACCCATAGAGCGCACCCCATAGCACATTCAAGTCGTGTACCGGGAATATTTCCCAGTGACAAATATGAGAGATATTTCTAATGCACGTTAAGATGCGCCCTGTGGGGTGCTGATGTGATAACAAGTTTCTATTAAAAGTAGGATTTCATCCCAAGTTTCATTGACTAAAAAACCCATGTTTTTTTTTTTTCAGATTTATGTAAGGATTAGAAAAAGTTTATTCGGACCATTAAGAATTCCAAATTCCATCATAAACAAACAACAATTCAAAATATCAAATACCCCCACCCTAAACATCAATACCCACCCGTGTATTGACATCAATTTCAAGCTGGCATCTACCTCAATTGTACAATGGGGTTAAAAATTCTGACGATGGACTGAATAATCATTCTCCTAAATTTATTTTCTTAGATACTATTTACCCGAGTAAGTGATACCCATCTCCTAGGTGGATAAATAACTTTCCCACATGAGGGAAAAATTGCCAACACTTGAATGAGACTAAAATGCCTCTTTTAATAATGGATTTTTATGATTAAAATGATCATTGCCTTATTTATAAGGAAAATAACAGAGCATGGGTAAATGCACTTACCCAATAAGTCTTTCTTGAGAAACACATACCCGAGTAAGTGCATTTACCTGTATAAATAACCTACCAAAAAACCAACAGAATCTAATATTATTCTAGCCTTGTATACTTTGGGGTAAAAATTTCAATACAAAGGCTTTTTTCTGAATGGAGTCGTATTATTTTATTTTATTTTTTTTTCATTTACTTTTAATGGGTAAGAATTCCCAGTGCATTGGGTTTGGGCCTAAGGGCAGTGTGAACTGTGCATATATGAGAATTTTGAAGCCGGAGAGACCCAATTAGATAATTGTAAGGATTAATTACTTAAATATACTTTGACCAAAATACTTATATATACCCTTGGATAATAAGATGGCCCCACATAACACAACCACCTGTTAAAGAAAACGTTTGGGGCTATTTATACCATTAAGTTTTTTTTTTTCATGATTTCAATTTTACCCCTCATCTTCTCTACTTTTTTTTTCTTTTCTCTCTTGTGTCTTCCTCTTCTTTTTCTTCTTTTTTATGTAATTTCTAATTTTTTGAATAAATTACTTAAACTATCGTTTAGTTATGAAAATGGACTATAACTTTGTAAAATACCTTTAAGTATGTCAAGTTTTATGACAATAAGCATTGATAGAAATAATGAAATATCTAATTTGCCATTCATTATTATTCAAAATTTTAAAATAAAACCAATAAAGTATACACAATATTCTCTCAAACCCAATCTTCTACTTTCTTCCTCCCTCATGATTTCAACTTTTATATTGGAATATATAGAGAGAGAAGAAGCTTTCTAAGTTCCAATTTCCAAATTGTTGGAGACTGTTTTAGTTCTAGTTGTAGTAAGTTGAGAGAATGAGTGCTTCAAATTCATTATGGAGATGGAGCTGTTGGAAAGACCTGCATGCTCATTTGTTATGCCAGTAACAAGTTGCCCACAAATACCCAACTCCAAACTATTAATCTTAGGGGATGTTTGGAACTGTGGCCGTTTTTCAAAAAAACGGTGCCACGTCAGATCCACATAGGTGTTTCAACAAATGCCCATATATCTCATTGTTTAGTTCAGCTGATTATTAAAAAAATCGGGCATGCCTTGAAAATCAGGACCCCACTAATACATGAAACACTAAATTTGGCGTTTCATGCATCGATGAACTGTTTCCCCTAACGGTTGACTAATGTGTATCCTATGTGGTGCTTACCTGTCAGCACATACATGAAAAACAGTGATGAAAATCACCTTACCAAACAACATAGTGTTGCTCACTGTTTACTTGGCAGAAGCGTTTTTTTGTGAAAAACGGATCTTGGAAGCATGGGCATTTTTCTTGAAAATTGGTCCCAAAAAGCGCTCACGCTTCCAAACACCATGTTAGTAAATTCATTAGCAATTTAATCTCTTAGGCTTAGTTTGGATGGAGTACAAATACAAATGTGTAGAGTGTAAATCCTTATATTTTATATGCATTTGCACTATACATATTTGTATTTGTACTCTTTCCAAATTGAGCCAAAGCTCCGTTTGTTTGCAATACAAATGCCAAATCGGGGTATTTATATACTACGGTTCGCATTTGTGAGCATTTGTTTGACATGTAAAAAATAAAAAATGTATTTTCTCACATTGTTGTACTGTGAAAATAGAGCATTACTGTACCTATTTTTTTTATACAATTTTGTATTCTTTTGATAATAGACTTTTTAACCAAAGTTAAGGCATTGGAGCAAAAGGTAGTTGGAGCATTTAATGATGGGGCCTACACTTAGCACCAATTTCAAACAAACAAGATGAGTGCAAAAACGGTTTAAAATCTAAACAGTATTTGCATTCATGAACTGAAAAGAGGGTAAATATGCAGTGTGCGTATTTGTATTTACATTGCAACCAAACACAGCCTTGGGTTCAATATTGTATTCATTTAGTTTTCACTGTTTCAGCTGTCAAGGAAGGCAATCGCTAATGGAGCTAATGCTTTGAAAGCAATTAGTTAAAGGTTTTGCACGGAGAAACCAAATCAGTTAAACGAAGAGGGGGGACATGTTTTGAAAGAAGAGGGGGGACATGTTATGGTCCCAGCCCAAATAAGCACTCCCAAGCCTGTGCGGGCTCGTGCCATGCCACAGCCGAGCTGGTTTGTGGGCCAAATTTTAGATTAGGCCGGGCTGTGGACCATGCTAAAGCTATTTATTTAAAAAATAAAAAAAAATAAATTTTATATTTTATATTATTTTTTATGTATACAATTGTTTATATATACAATAATTAAATAAAATAGTATAATAAATATATTGTATATTATATATTATATATAAATATATATGGGTCATGCCGCAACATGGCCCATGAGCCATCGTGCCAGGCCATGGGTAACACGGCCGGATTTATACCTTTACTGAAATCTAAGTGAGGCCCTTGTTATCCAATAAAGGGCATGTTTATAAAATTTAGGGTCCGTTTAGTTTGCAGTTGGAATTGGAATCAGAATCAGAATCGGAATGGTCCATTCCCATAATCTGTTTGGTTCAGACAGGAATGAAAATGGTAATTAAAATCAGCAGCAGGGAATATCATTCCAGCAGGAATGGGAATGGGAATGGGATTCCAATTCCGCCCAATCAAACAGTTAAAATCAGAATAACCCATTCCGATTCCAGACCCCTATTCCCGCAAACCAAACGGGTCCTTAATGAATAGTCAAATACATCTTTATCTTTTTCTTTCGCCCCATTTGGGTTGGGAAACTTAGTGAATGTTTACTTATAAGCACCTATTTTAGGTCAGGACCATACTTAATAAGCACTTATGTGTTTTGGGAAAAAAAAAGCCAATAAGTGCTTATTTCAAATAATAAACCCGTTTTGAAGAAATAAAAAATTTCAGCTTATTTTGAAATGCTATTGCATTTCTGGCCTGTCTTGACTCACCATATGATTTTTAAAATACCTATCACCACTCATAAGCACTTATTAGGAGTTAATTTTCCAATAAACACACCTAAACGGGGGCCAAGAAATTTTGAAAAGTATGATATATTTAACTAGTTTAGTAAAACCATAGGTATATTTAAGTAATTAGCCTTATAAATCATGAGGACACAATTCATCTCCTTCCTAAATTGGGATAATCCATTTCATTGTTCTAATCAAAGGTTTAACAATGCCTATTTCTAATGTTTCTCTTGATAATATGATATTCTAAGACAACTTTCTTGAGTTAATGGGAGTATAGAACCTGCAAAAGGTAGGAGCTTCCTTTCTCTTCGTTTTTTTTTTCTTTTTTTTTACTCTATACGGATGGATCATCCAAGCAAAATCTTTTGTGTTTGTGTTATGTTTTCCAAGAAAATCTCCTACATGCTTAACCCTTCCCCCAATTTATATATCCACGGTCGAGGTTGATCAATTAATCAATTACTACTACTTAATGTTAATGCTTCTCCCAAGCATTGTAGAGAATTCATCCATAACGAGCAGTCTCAAGCAAGGTTCTAAAAATCAGATTGGACATGGAACCGTTTTGGCTATCGATTCCTAGATTAAAAGATTCGACTGTTTTGAATGAATGGCCCATTTTGATTTTAAAAAATAAATAATTAAAATTAAAAAAAAAAAAGATAAAAAAACTATTGTCTGAATTGATGGATCGATGGTTCAACCAATCGGGTCAATGAGCCACTGATCAAATCAACGATTTTTTGCTCAAAAACGGTTTTAGGGTGAAACAGAACCAGTTGCCTGACCGATTCCCAGGTCAACCGGTCCGGTTTTTAAAACCATGATCTCAAGATGGAAATTATGGGAGAAACAACTTTTTTCAGACAATGTACACAACACCATAAATGTTTCTACAAAGAATCTCAATCAACATAATATTGGCAAGATATAGGCAAGCACTTTCTTACATCAAGAGAAGTATATTTACCACCATGGTCTTCTAGAAAGCAGAGAATGGACGAAAAAGTATCCTCGCATAAATTCAGAAGCCAGCCTACTTGATCTTGATCCTCGGTAATCACCCAACCCTAAATCCAGGAAGTTGCTGATCCACAGCAAGTCAGTTAAATTATATACAATTTCAATATGTTGCACTCTACAGTTTTCTGATTTCCTTTCCATGATGAACAAGGATGAGCATCAGACTTCACCATGGCAGACTATGTACAAAGGGTGGTCGGATTTTTCTCAACTCTAAGCATCATGACTTCTGTACAGATCAAATCATATGATCATATACGAAAAAAAGGGTGTCAGGCATCAAAAGAGGCAAGGTATTCATATAAAGATAGAAACGTTTCAGGTTCTCCTCTGCAAGAGTTGCAGTGTCAATGACATCACTGCTACTGGTCAGCACCCACAAATCATTTGAATTTACTCTCTTTAAGCTACCACGGCAAAAGGGGCAGGATTGAGATCGCATGTTCCTGTTATTGATTTGAACAAAATAAGAACAGAAAATCTTTTTAGTGCAGGTTTGGTTATGGGAACTCTGTTTGATTGGACAATAAATTCGGGCTCTGCGGTTACCAGTCATGGAAGCAGCTGATACACATGGAGTGGCCGCAGTTGGGCAGCACCATCCTGGTGCAAGGTTCCATACAAATCTCACATTCATCTTCTCTTTCTGCATCCTCAACAGAAATCTTCCTCGTCCCTTCCACCCTCTTCCTGCTCAAAACCTCCGGGAATTGACTCCTCCCATTCTTATTTTCCAATTCAGATAACTCACCTACTAGTTGCCGAAGAGAAGGATAAATAACAGCTGCAAACATTTTCAAAAACGAGTTATGGGTATAGAAGATAAAAAGTAGAAACCAGGAAATTTGACATATGGGGAAGCAGCAAAAAATCTTTTTTTTTTTTCATTTTCTTTTTTATTTTGGAGGGTCACAAGTCTGTACAAACCATAGAATTCCCTGAGATTAGCTTTCCTTTCATGTGAAGATGTGGTTTTCATCCCATCTACATATGCCTGCACAATCCTAAAAATGCTTAATTTGGTTGTTCAGCAACAAATAAAAAGAAACTAAACAATAGTTGAACCTATGATATAAACTTCATGATTTCATATTTCCAGAGGACAAGACTGCAGTTAACTCAGCTTAATTTGGCTGTTCAATAATAATCTTGTGTTTGGATTGGGTGGACTAATTTGGGTGAGGGCATAATCCTGTTTCATTTTCAGAATCCCTGAATCTAAACACAGCCTGAAAGAACAGATGATAAATATTAACCAAATCCAAAACATTAACCCTATGACTTCTCCAATATTTCATGAGACAAGAACCAAAAGGTTGTCTTTTGCTTAGCTTTGCATCAACTTTTGTAGCAGCAGAAATGCACAAAGGTGTTTCCTGGAAACAGGTCAGCCCCTACTTGTCTCAGAATGCATTTCCAATTGTTTAATATTGGGCCTGTTCCCACAAAACCATTGATGATTCTAGAGAAAAGAAGAAAAAAAAAACACCTCTTTTAATAAGCCAGGCCAAACACAGCCTAACCTAACAGGAAGAAAACCCAACTGACCTTGTATATAATTATGTGGAGAAGACCTAAATAACTCGGCAGAGTATCTGTACAACTAAAATCCATCCATTCAATTAGAAGAAGAAAGAAAGGCGCGAAGGGACTGTAAGACAGTCTCATCTGAAAATATCCTCCACCGTAGTCTCTTGGAAGAGCAGCGGCCCTGCAAATGCAACAATCCAAAAGCCAAATTCAAATTTCAGTCGATCCCATCTCCGACCCCAAACAATTGGTATTAAGCTGAGATGATTTAAAGAATTAACTCCATCTAGATGGATACCAAACGAAATAACAATACTAAAAAGATACTAAACGAACAGAGCAACTAAAAATTCTGCAAGAGCGGCAAAACCAGAAGTCGCTGTTCCTTCACGATAGAGATAGTAGAATGCAAATGGGTTTTTTCTTTCCCGAGTTTTGGAGCCAGGAGTCCATGGAAAAAGAAGGAAAGGATTGCAATTGAACTATAATACAATCTAATTTTACGACGTTTCCTACTATGAGGTCTTGGGATTCCCAATATAACGGGTTTTTATTTCAATCTCTCGAGTTTTTAGAACAGGAATTTCAACTAAGGATGCCAATGGGTGAACATGGTACGTAATTTGAAATCTGCCAATGGGTGAATAGGAATTTCATCTTGGTATTACGCCCAAATGAACCAAATTAGAACGAAATTCAACCAAACCACACAACAAATTAGCTGCTTACTTCTTTCGCATTCTAATTGAGAGGGGGGACAAATGGGGTCTACACTATTTTTCAGTTTCTGGACAAGAAGGAGAACTGCACAGAGAAGTGTAAAACAACAAATAAAGAAAGTGATGAGAACGTACAGTCTATTGGCATGTTGTATATCAGCTTCAAGAGCCTTGACAGATTCTTTGTAAGAAGATTTGTCGAGTTGCCTCTGCCACATCTCCTTTCCTTATGGGAAGAAAGAGAGAAAAGGAAAGACTAAAGGCGAACGAACAAAAGAAGGCTTTTGGGTGTTCTGTTGGAATGAGAATTTTGGACGGGAAGGCCAGAGAGATACTTTTAAAAAGGCTGACAAGAGAGAGAGAGAGACGTTTGCTTAGGATTGAGACCTTTCCCCAGTCCAAGCAAGGAAAAGGATTCCTTCCATTCCTTCTCACACATATATTTCCTTCCTTCCATGTCTAGTTGTCCTTATTATTCTCTCCCTGGTATTCTCTATTCTCTACTGGTATCTTTCCCTCATTAGAGATAAACATATTAAATTCCATTGATCTCTGTAACCACCTTAAATATATATATATATATATATATTGCTACAGTGGATTGAATTCCAAATTTCCAATATGCGGGGACCATTCCAGGAATCTACAGTATAAAATAAAGGAGCAGTCGGCTTCCCACCTACCCTATTTCTGAGTTCTGACATGCAGTTGCAGAGACATATCCAACCCGTTCATCAGATATAAAAGCAAGGCACCATTAATTCATCAGTCCTCGTGCATTTCTCCTCTTTTTTAAATATACCAAACCACCAAAATTATCAGTCATCGTGTATTTTCTCTCCTGGTCTACATCAATCACCATCTTACTTATCAAAAAAATAAAAAATAAAAACGTCTACATCGCTATCTTATATTTTTCTTCCTAAATGCTACCAAACCACTAAAAGCTGTATATATGATAATTTTTCGTCTCAAAGTGTTCTAAAAGGAAAAGGTCAGAACTCAAAAGGGAGCTGAGCACATGGAAGGGGCCTGCTTGACTCTTGAACAGCGGATGAACAGGGGAAATATGGCTTGAATTTTTTTTTTTTTTGGTGCCATGGAAATGGGGTGCCCCATCATGCGAATGCGGGATTTGATCCCACAAGGTCTCCGCTACGACCACCCGGCGACCTTACCAACTGAGCCACTTACCCAAGACAATGCCGTTTAAAAGATTGCCTAATTGGAAATCAGCATTATTAGATTTATATTGCCAGGTGGCTAAAAAGATGAAGAAGATGAAGAGATTTATAAGTATATTGCTACATTAGCATAAATCGAGAGTATCCGTCTAGTAACCGATTCTAAAATGGAATAGATGATTGAATTGGTATATCACCTACTTGACGATTGTCCCAAACAGGTTAACAAGAAGGTATTGCTCTTAATTTTCCTAGTTATTATTATAAAAAAAAAAAAGTCCAAGAAAGGGAGATGAATAAACGAGTTTGAGGGCCCACTGACCCCCCGGCCATGGCGCTAGTTGCTGTAGTAATACGCTTTAACATTAATAGACTCTTCAAAAGTTATATCATAAGACTGTAAGCAAACGTATCCTGGATTTCCCATTTGACCCTCATTCATATCACTGAAGTTTTCTAACGCGGAGATCAGAGACTGGTCAATGGTCAGCAGATAGAATTGACTATCAGAGCCATGGTCCGTTCATCTTCTTCATCTTCACTTATTTATTTTGCCTCAAGTGGCAGCCCATGCCCATTTCAACCCCCAACCTTGGGGGCAACAGATTTGATTCCAAAGTCTCCGCTACAACTAGCCACACAACTTATCAATTGACCCATCATCAGTTGGTTGAATCATGATTAAAACTTCAAAGTATGATAAGTAAAAATTGATGTTTCACGCACTTTTTAGGCTGCATTTGTTTTTGGTGTAAATATAGACCGGTGTAAAATTCTATCCCTGGTCCATATTTGTTGATAGAGGTGTAAATTGATCGAATTTGAATTGATTCAGGCAATATACGAATTGGAATCTGATTAAAAAATTCGATTTGATATTTGAGGGATATTGAAAATTAATATTCAAATATTCAATTCGATTCAAATTCGACCAATTAATTATTTTGGTAATTAATAAATACTTTATTTATATAATTTAATTATTATATATAAAGTATATATAATATTTAAATATTTTGTATATTATATATAAGAATTAAATAATCGATCGAATTCGACGAACCAGGTCATATATGAATTTGAATCCGATTAACTATTCGATATGAATAAGATATCTGAAATCAATTGATTAAATATTAGAATTATCCGAATTGATTGTGTCAAATCTCGAATTTGAAATCATATTTTCGAATACCATTGACACCCCTATTTGTTGACGTTTGTTTTGAATACTCCACTCGAGGTAGAGTTTTACATCAATAATCAATGTAAAGACAACATCAATAAAATTGATGTAAATATTTGCACCGGTAATCATGCCTTTTCTCTCTACAATAGTTCATCCATTTAAATCAATCAGTATTGAACTCTGTCGATATACTTTTACATCAAAAAATATTTACACTGAAAACAATCGCAGCCTTGAGGGTAATACAGTTTTATTTCTTAATTTTTTCAGACTGATGTTCTAGGAGTTAAGAGGGATTTTTATGTTTAAACATTGTCTGCCCCCTTCGGTCGTTTGAGTCTATGTTGGCTGATGGCCATGGGGGAGGTTTCTAATTGATTTGGTTTTCAGCTGTGTTTGATCTGGTTCTTTGTTTTCTCTTTGAGTCTTGGATGTTGTAACTGTTCTCTCTTGTGATTTGAATGAAGTTTCCTTTCTACCCTTAAAAAAGTTCAAACATAGACACACCCTCAATGATCTTCTGCCAACAAAAACACGTTCCAACACCCTAGGTGTTTTCTCAGGAGATCTGGACTCCCCAACCCCAACCCCACCCCCACCCTAACCCCTTGGCTGTAAGCAGCATTTCAATGGGATATGTATCATATGATATGCACCAATATGTTAATTAGAGCTTAATTGGATTCATCAACATCTAAGCTCCGCTACAACTAGGTAAAATCTTAATCCATTTATTCAAAATATCATATCTATTATCATTAAATTATGAGCACTTAAATTATTTTTTATTATCTCCAATTCGTGCCCTTTCAAATAATGCATAAGAATCTCAAGCAATTTAGTTTTGAGCAATGTTTTCAATCTGCAAAGTGGTTGACTTGCACACGGCCAGGTTTTGAGTCCATTTGTTCCTGAACCATTTATTTGTTAAAAAAATAAAAATAAAAATTGTTGATTCGATCCATGATTTGATGATCTGGTCAGTTGAACAATTTAACCCAATCAGAGGTTATGGGTCATACATTAATTATCGTTTTTCTCTTGTATTTATATTTAATAAAAATAAATAACTCTCATTTATGATATTTATTTTTATTTAATATAAGAGTATATAATATCATAAGCATGTCTTATATATTTTTCTATTTTTCTACAAAACATCCTGCCACGCAGGGGGAAAAGCAATTCCCTTTCCGGGTCGCCTTGGTTTCTTTTCTTGGGAAAAACTATCTCCTGTTTTTGGGCACTCCCTTTTAAATTCTTCACAATAAGTTTTACTTTCTTTTTAGGTTTACTACTCTTGGTCAAAACTTTTGTGTTATGAAAGAAAGTTTCCAAATCCAATTTCCTCCCTCTGAAAAAGTGATAACCGGTGGGATTGTTTCATATGCTAACTATGTTTTTTCATTATTCTACCCTACGGCTATGTTTGGTTTGATGGAAAATATAGGGAAAGAAAGGGAAAAATAAAGAAACCTATATAAGATTTGTAAAGGTTTTCCTACGTTTTTCTTCCTTTTCCTACTTTTTCCTTCAAACCAAACATAGCCTAAAGTAGAGGAGATGCCATTTCTAGTTATACTTCAATTTCCAATCATATTTTTAGTGGCGGGCAACAAGTTATAAAGCCATCAGTAGTTGAGATGGTCATTCGGTCTCTCCATAGAATTGCAAACTTTTAATGGCCGTTGTGTCTTATTTGCACCTTGCTCTATCCTCTTGCACGTCATTCTACCTTAGTCGGTTCCCCCATGTACTTTCAATCAATGTTTTTAAAACTGAATCGGAAAAACTGGAAATCGGTCATATGATTGGTTCTGTTTTACTCTAAAATTATTATTTGGCCAAAAACCATTGATTTGATTAGCAAATTGTTGCCCGAACGATCGAATCATTGAAAAGTTTAACCTATGAATGGTTTTTGGCCATTTTTTGTTTTTTGCCAGAACAGGCCCTCCATTCAAACCAGACAATTGAACCATCCAACTCAGGAACCAAACCCAGAATGGTTTGTATACGGTCCGATTTTAAAAACCTTGCTTCCAATAATTCCTTACACCAGCTTGGTATAACTATCCGGCTCATCTAATTTATAAGTAGGATGAGGAAGCACGTGTATTAGGGTGATTTTATTGTTTTTATTTGAGGCCCATTACTCAGTTTGGGTGATTATTTACTCTTGAAAAATACCTTTGGACTTATTGATTTAAGTCATTTTTAAATTTGAAATACCTTCAGCATTCCACTTCTATGGTTCAAAAAGCTTAAAACAAATCAGGAACTTCATTCTCCATCCTTTAATATTCAAACAATGACTCTCTCAAACCCAATATATAGTGGTTCAGTTGGTAGGATTTCTGATTCGTTGTAACAAGAGACCTGGGGTCAAATCCCGTTACCATTACCACCAGGTGGAAGGTGGGGTCAGACTTGGGGGATAGGGGGATGGGCTGCCTAGCCCGAGCCTGATCTGAATCTATTCTTAGTTTTATTTTATTGAAGTTATATGTAAAAAAATATGATATAAATTACAGTGTTAAAATACTAATTTAAGAGAATATGAAACCTTAAGCCATGTTTGGGAGTATTTAAAAATAGGTGCTTATTTTAAAAATAAGGGCTTATTTTTTAAACCTAAATTTTCAGCTTTTTTTAAGTGCTTATACAATAAGCACTTATTCAATCTTTTTCTTTCAAAATTATCCCTAGTTGAATTTTAAAATACCACTTATAAAATTATCCCTAGTTGAATTTTATGAAAGCACTTTTATAAAAGTACTTTTACGAAAGCATTTTTATAAAAGTATTTTTATGAAAGCATTTTTACAAATTTACTTTTAAGAAAGTACCCTTATAAAAGCACTTTTGTGAAAGTACATTCATAAAAATGTTTTCGTAAAAAATACTTTCGCAAAAGTACTTTGGTAAAAATGCTTTTCATAAAAATACTTTTATAAAAGTGTTTTTATAAAATTAATTTATTAAAAGTGCTTTCAAAGGGTATATTTTGAAAATGTGAAAGAAAGTGAAGGACAAAATAGTCACAAATACTTATTTAAATGCT